TTCTACATTTAAGAAGCTTAAAAAAACATTTTGTATCTAGCATTTTGGATAATAATGACTTTATATTCTTGCTAATAGTGCTAACAGCGATATAAAAACCCCCACAAAATTAGCTGACTCCTACATTTAAGAAGCTAAAACCAGTTCATGTTTAGCATTTTGTTTAATAATCTACTATATATCGTTGCTAATAGTGCTTATAGTGACATGAAACAGAGAAAATGAGCTAATTCCTACATTTAAGAAGCTAAAAAGACCTAATACTTTGCATTTCGTGTAATAATCTACTTTTAATTCTTGCTAATAGTGCTAATATTTACAGTCAACACAGAAAATCGGCTAATTCTTACATTTAAGAAGCTAAAACACTTAATATTTAGCACAATAATCTACTTTATCCATCCATTTTCTTCCACTTTATCTGGAGTCGGGTCGTGGAGGCAGCAGCCTTAGCAAAGCCGCCCAGACTTCCCGATCTGCATACAAGGACTCTCCACCGACCTGGAGAGGGCAAGCCACCTTTTTCCAGTCGAGAACCATGGCCTCGGATTTGGAGGTGCTGATCCTCATCACGTTCGCACCACACTCGGCTGCAAACCGCCCCAGCGCACGCTGAAGGTCCTGATTTGATGAAGCCAACAAAACAACATCATCTGCAAACAGCAGAGATGAGATTCTGTGGTTTCCGAACCGAACCCTTTCTGCCCCCTGGCTGCGCCGAGAAATTCTGTCCATAAAAATAATGAACAGAACCGGTGACAAAGGACAGCCCTGGCGGAGGCCAACGTGCACTGGGAACAGGTCTGACTTACTGCCGGCAATGCGAACCATGCTCCTGCTGCGGTCGAACAGGGAATGGACAGCCCTTAACAAAGGGCCCCAGAACCCATACTCCCGAAGCGCCCCCCACAGGACGCCACGAGGAACCCGGTCGAACGCCTTCTCCAGATCCACAAAACACATGTGGACTGGTTGGGTGAACTCCCATGAGCCCTCGAGCACCCAGTGGAGGGTATAGAGCTGGTCCAGTGTGCTGCAACCAGGACAAATCCAGACTGCTTCTCCTGAATCCGAGGTTTGACTATCGGTCGGATCCTCCTCTCCAGTACCCTGGAATAGACTTTACCAGGGAGGCTGAGGAGTGTGATCCCTCTATAGTTGGAACACACCCTCCGGTCCCCCTTCTTAAACAGAGGAACCACCACCCCGGCCTGCCAATCCAGAGGCACTGTCCCCGACCACCACGCGATGTTGCAGAGACGTGTCAACCAGGACAGTCCCACAACATCCAGAGACTTAAGGTACTCAGGACGGATCTCATCCACCCCTGGAGCTCTGCCACCGAGGAGCTTTCTTACCACTTTGGTGACTTCAGCCCAGGTGATAGACGAGTCCGCCTCCGAGTCCACAGTCTCTGAAGACGTGATGGCGGGATTGAGGAGACCCTCGAAGTACTCCTTCCAAGGCTCGACGACCTCCTCGAACTCCTCCCAGACCCGAGTTTTGCCTCTGTGACCGCACGAGCTGCCGCACACTTGGCCTGCCGGTACCTGACAGGAGTCCCACAAGCCAAAAATGACAGGTAGGACTCCTCCTTCAGTTTGACGGCATCCCTTACTTCCGGCTGCCACCACCGGGTTCAGGGATTTCAGCCACGACAGGCACCAGAGACCTTACGACCACAGCTACGAGAAGCCGCAGTAACAAATGAGGAGGAGAACATGGACCACTCGGCCTCCATGTCTCCAACCTCCCTCGGGATCTGGGAGAAGCTCTCCCAGAGGTGGGAGTTGAATGGGTTCGGGATGGACAAACTGTGACTAGCACAGAAGTCCAACCACAGAACACCACTCGGGTTCAGATCGGGGAGGTTGTTCCTCCCGATCACCCCTCTCCAGGTCTCACTGTCGTTGCCCACATGGGCATTGAAGTCCCCCGGTAGAACAAAGGAGTCCCCAGTCTGGGCACTAGATATCGCTCAACCTCCCGCACAAGCTCAGGCTCCTTCCCCCCCAGCGAGGTGACGTTTCACGTCCCGACAACCAGAGGATGTGTACGCAGACCAGGCCGTCGAGGCAGCCCCCCTCGACTGCCACCCAGTCCTCTCTGCACCTGACCCCTTTGACTCCCTCTGCGAGTGCTGAGTCCACAGGACTATTCTTGCTAATAGTGCTAACAGCGATATAAAACACACAAAATGAGCTAACGCCTACATTTAAGAAGCTAAAAAACACTATTTGCATTCTGATTGATAATCTGCTTTACATCTTTGCTAATAGTGCTAACAGCGATATAAAGTTGAGAAAATTAACTAATTCCTACATTTAGTGAGCTAAAATCACCTAATATGTCGCATTTTGCTTGATAATCTATGCTATATCTTTGCTAATAGTGCTTAAAGTGATACAAAACACACAAAAATTAACTATTTCCAACGTTGAAAGGGTTAAAACCACTTCATATTTTGCATTTTGTGTAATAATCTACTTTATATCTTTGCTAACAGTGCTAACAGTGATGTAAAATAGAGAAAATGAGCTAATTTACCTTTGAGAAGCTAAAAAACACTTAGTATGTAGCATTGTACTTGACAAAGAGTTATTTCCTACATTTAAGCAGCTAAACAGTGGTATTAAACATGAAGACGATGACCAAATTATTACATTTAAGAGGTGAAAACAGTGAAAAATCACAACTACGTATCTAAAACTTGACTAACAATAATATAAAACACTGAAAATGAGCTGATTCCTACATTTAAGAAGCTAAATCATGGCATAAAACAAACCAAATTATTACATTTATTGATGTAAAACACAGAAATGTCTAAAAAAGCCAACGCTGGCTGTGTTTTCATATCAGAGCTGAACTTGTGCTGCCTGCCAGTGGGAGAACCCAGCAGACGGTTTCTGTTTTCCAGTACGACGGTGCATCTAAACGGAGGTAAAATTGAGCCCATTTTGTTTACAGCTGTTGATGTGTGCTGCCTGCTTAGAAGGAGGCTTAAAGTGAAACACACATTTTCAGCAGCTTGAGGGGGAAAAAATAAAAACATCACTGTTGGGGGGAAACCGAGCTGTTCAGGATTCAAACGACGGCAGAAGGAAGTCGGTTCTACACAAGTGGAGGAAACACCGACAGTCTGAGAAAAAGGCAATCAGGAGGACGAACGGTGAATGTAAACGCTCCACATCGGCTTGTTTGGAGCATCGGAGCAGGAAAAGTGAAGACTGGACTAAACTGCAAATGCTAGATTCAGATCATGTGATAAAAGTCAACAAATAAACAGTTTAGATCTGTTTTTGAATTCAGACAATTTGTAATGAAATTATGTTCAACCAACAAACTATACTGAGTTGATCTAATTAGGTCCTCCTCTTCATTGGAGTTTACTGAAGAGCTGTTAGCATAAACACCAGTTTTTAAGTTGATTCCATGTTAGTTAAAAGGAATTCTTAACCATCATGTGATTAATTAATGTAGTTTTGAACACGCGTAGTGTTGACAAAAATTAGGTTGGTCCAATGAAGAGGAGCCTTAAAATCATTAAGAAGAAAAAATATTAAAAAAATATTGCAGTTTGCATCAATCTTTTTGAGTTGAGAGAACTTCTAATGAAATTATGTTGAACCAACAAGTTAAATTGATTTGAACGAATTAGCTTTTCCTCTTCAATAAAAGGTATTTTAAATTACTTAATGGTTGGTAGCATAATAAAGATACATTTTTAAGTTGATTAATTATATAAATAAACATTTAAAAATAAAGTTTGAGCTCAACTAAATGATTCATGTAGTTTGTATTTATCTTTTTTGAGTTGAGACAACTTCTAATGAAATTATGTTGAACCAACAAGCTTTATTAAGTTGGACCAATTAGCTTTTTCTCTACAATCAAAGGTAATTATTTTGAAACCAATTTCTGTCACTTAATTAAATGTATGGCTGCAAGATTTAATAAAATAAAATATTTTATTTGGTTGGCTTGACACAATAAAGTTGCATCAACTTGATATTATGAGTAATTAAAACTCAAATTTCTGCACGAGTTGATTTAAAACTAAACTCAAGTTGAGGAAACTTAATAAAACTGGTTTGTTCAAGTCATTTTCATTCACCTTGACTTCAGGATTTAAACATAGCTGGACAATTTCAGACTGCTAATTTTTTTTAAAAATGTAAGTTTCCTGAACTTCAGTTTTCCATCAACTAGTTTAAAAATGAAAGTTTAAATCACATAAAATATTAAGTTGATGCAACCCAACTCTTTAAAATAATGTTTGCAAGTTAAAAGATTCATCTAAAGCAGTGCATTTTGCATTTAACTAACTGATGGGAACAGGTTCCTTAAACTACTTTCTGCAGTATTTGAGCTGAATGTATGGACGCTGCTGGTTCGTCCTGACGCCACTAATCCAACAGCTGAAACTAGCCCCCATTAAATGCACTTCTGACTCCAATTTGACGAACGTCTGCTTAAAAGTGCAGATCCCAGCTGTTTTGGGAAACTTCTCGCCTCTTTTCACCGTGTAAAACAATACATTTATGAGCCATTGTTGGAGATTCACGTCTTCTGAAAGCATTAAATGAGCTTTCGGATGTGGGAAGTCAAAAAGACGGCCCGATGCATTGTTGGGGAAACGTCGACAATAGCGAAAATATATAAGAACCGGCGGCTTTAAAAGATAATCTCCTCTGGCAGAGTAATTGACGAGCCGTCATTCAGCAGATGGAATATGTACAATATGTTTTGTTGTTGTGGGTTTTGTCAGAGGAAACTCCAAATATGGGCAGCGGGACTGTGGAGAAGCTTTAGTTTGGGCCATTTTGTTCTGCTGGTGGCTTGTAATGTTGACAACTTTACTCCACAACAACCTTGAATCAAACAGAAAGTGTTCTTTTTTTATCGGATTTTTTGGAAATGACGTAAAAAGTAACTCTGAAGATATTCACAGTGTGAAGGTAAAAATTGCACGACTCCATGAATAAAGAACAACTCACCAGCGCTTCGTCCTCGGAGAGCAGTCGCTCCTCATCGTGGACCAGCACCACTCTGGCCTTGACTTCATCCACTGTTACACTGTAGGGGTTACAACACCAGTGTGTTAGTATTCCTCACAGCTGTTCAGTATTATGGGCCGGTTTCATCACGATGCGCTGAACGTATCAAGGTCATCACCTCTGAAACCGATACCTGTTCACGGGTATACGTGTACCGGAGTACCGTGAGACGTTCGCTTTTCAACCTCACGGAAAACCCAGAACTTTAAATGAATGCTGCACTTTTTCACCAAAAAGCTTCGTCTCCAATCTCTTATGACTAAGAGTCAACCAAGACATCTTGGTGTCGCCCAGATTTAAGTTTTCACGGTTGCATCAAACCAAAAACTTCTTCAGCTTTCTACCACTTACGAAATGTCGCTGAAGTCAAAGCAAGACCTTGAAAGACTCACCATCAGCTTTTATTGGTAGATTAAACTACTGTAATGCTCTCTTCACAGGGCTTTCCAAACAAGATGTTCAATAACTTATTCCCAGTGCTGCTACTCGGACCAATCGGGACGCTAAAGTTAATTTGAGATAACTGTTTGACTTGTGCGTCTCTTTTTCTATTTTTTTTTTAAATTTTATAAATTGTGAATCATTTAGTTTATTTTAAAACTTCAAATCTGTGTCCTTCACTGTTTTTATTACGTCGTGAAGCACTTTTGTGTGCATGACGTGTACAAATTAGGCCGCCTTGCCTCGTTAACCACCAAAATATGTAACCTAGCAACAACAAAAACACATTTTATTGGCTGTGATTTGATAAATTGGCTGAACTTGTCCCCGTCGAATACGACAGCATCTCTTCTCCTGGACTATGAAGAATGCTGGTCGCCAAAATAACGGCCAATCCTCATGAAGTCATTCTTTAGGTACAATAACTTGGGTATATTTAGCTACAGGTGCTTGAAGTGAACTGGTGTAGGTTGGAATTCTTATTTTGTTTTTCTGACATTTTTGAGAAGGAAACAGACATTTGAGTTCTGTTAATACCTGCAACCAAGTCAGCTCTACATCCATCCAGGTGTCACAACCTAAACACTAAATCTGGTTTTCATTCACGATTTTTTCTATAAACAACTTTGAGCACCAACGTCATGGAATATATTATAGCTCCAACAGGAAAAACGCACCACATATAGAGTAGCACATCCGTTTCCTGATGATTCACGAAAGAATCACTGCTAGGGGCAGACTGATTATATATTTGGCATTTTTTCCGATTAGCTGTATGTTTACTGGCCGATTATTAATAAATTAAACATGCTACTTCAGCCTCCTCTATTGGTCTGTTGTCTCGGAAATGCCTCTCAAAGCAGCAAAAGCTGAACAAGAAACCGTCCCCACAAACCACGAAGTTACCTTCTCTCGCGGTGGCTAATGCTATGCTAACTGCTAGCGGCTACGTCTATAAGGCTGCTACAGATTAACCCAAAAGAAAGTCTAGAAAACAATTAATGGTTGAAGATGTGGACTTTAGCGGGCAAGAAAAGCGATAGAACATAACTGCAGTTTCCACATAAACAGAGGAGATAATTTATTTACTACTATTTCTATTTTACATATTCAGCTATAGTTGTTAATGAAGAAGCCTCGTTATAAATGACTGGTTCCTGCCAAAACATTACATTCAACGTAAACTGGTTCCAGATATTGGTAATGAGCCTTTCTTAACTCTTCCCAGCTCACCTCTACAACAGTATAACAGAATTCTGAAACTCGGTGGTGACTTTTGCTTTTGTTGGGCCACCCCAACACCCCTCCTTCGACCGCCTCTAACGGATCGTTTCTGCCTTTCGGTCCATTCTTTAGCTCCGCGGCACAATGCCGCCCAACAAGTACAATCCAAACCCATTATCCTCCAAACATTCAGATCTTTTCTTCGGCCGTCCTTCCCACCTCCCACCCCCCGGTGCTGCATTCCTTCCTCCACCTCGACCGCCGCTAACTGAGCTGAGATAATGACTGGCCGGGATCAATCTCGGGAGTCCATCAAAAGCGGAAGTGCGGGCAAACGCACAAAGCGAGTGGCTTGTTCGGCGACAGAGGATCAATGGCGTGGGGGTGGGGTTGGGGAGGTAAGTGCTGGACGGACCCCACCATTGTGGCTTGGAAATGAGGACGAAGGCAGCGGTCGCTTATATCACAGCGTATAGAACCACTGCATGGTGGGAGCAGCTGTACACACCTATAGCAGGAAGACGGTCATAAATATTAGGGAAGGCGGCGATAAATCCTGACAGAGGGGACGGGATAAAAAGCACAACCTGTTCGTGGGCCTTTGGGAGGCTCCATCATGGTTCATTTCCTGAAGCAGTTGGTCGACGCTATTTATAGGCCGGCATACTGGTACCAGTTAATCCTGCACTGGGCTGCCAACTGCCTGCCAGCTGGCACAGTGGGCTGCACTCGTGTGTGTGTGTGTGTGTGTGTGTGTGTGGCGCTCGGGATGAAATGATGGCGAGGAAGGCCAGAACGTACCTTAATGACCAACGTGCGGAGCGAGGATTTATCCCCGAAGAGCCAAGTGACGGAAAGAAAGTTTCAGGCTCGATGTTTGCCAGCTACAAACTCAAGATGTGACAGTGGCTTCTACTCTCTTTTAGCGCATTTTTGTTGTATTTTATCTGCACCAAATGGGGTTTGTACTCTTCTATAGTTGCATCTTTTATCACGTTTAGCTTAATTTATCCACTTTTAGCTTCTCTGATTAGCCTGACTTGCTATCGGTTATACTGCCTGTTCTATCGGCTCGTCTGTCAAAGAGAATTTGTAAACTCTCTTTTGAAAAGGTGCAAGATGAATGCAATTAGAGAAGAAACTAGACTGTATGTAAAGATCTGTCTGCGTAAAGAATAGTCCGTGTGCAACATCTGGATTTCGACATATGTGCAAAATATTAGCAGCACTTATGAATTTTTCTTGTTTTTTTACAAATGTCCCCACATTTTTTTGCACAATCCACTCCGCAAACTTCCACACTGGGGCTTATTTTATCTTATTTTATATGCTCTCAACCTGCAGCTTATCTTTGCAGATTCCTGTACGAGCTCCGGCGTGAATTCACAACTTTGTGGGCGAAAAAATGTGAGTAAATTTTGCAGTTGAGCGATCGTCGGTGACTAAACGGAGCAAATTCAAAAGTATCTATGTGACATTTGAATTTCTACATATAGAAAAATCTGTAATAAACAGTATTACTGTATATTTCTTGTATATTTTTTACTTTTCCACTGATATTCCTGTATTCCTTTAAGCACTATCCCCCTCCCCGCTGCTTGCAGGACCTTATTTTATGCATCATCTGCTAATATTTGCACAAAAACAAACTCAGCAGCATCTTTGCTTCTGACAAATTCCTCTGCGTGTCACAAAATGCATTCAGAGCTTTATGGAGGGAAAAAAACAGAAGTAAATGTTGTCGTGAAGCAATTATCGGTGACGAAACGGACGCAAAAATGAAATCAGCTCCCAGTATAAATGGGAGAACAATTATCTGTGGATCTGCATTAAAGATAATTAGCAATTCCAATCGAGTGGATTAAGAACGGGGAGGACGTTTGTCATTAGGGACAAAACCGAGTTCAGTTTTTTTCTGTGTAAAGATAAAGAGTCTGCAGCGTTCATGCTAATCCGGGCGGGAGTCAGCAAATGTGCGAGCATCAGGTGTAGCGGTGACTTTAGCGTTTATCACGACGGCGGCTAAATCAAGCTTGACACCTGGGCGTGCGAGCTGCTGCAGGGGGAAGAAGAAAAGGAAAAAAAATGGCGATTTAGCATACAAAGCCTTCGCCTTGCGCTTTATTCAAATGGGCATCAATACGCGTCCTGCATCGAGATCGCCGGCTCACCGGATCCACTGACTGACGGGCTGAGACAACGTCTGCATGGAAATAAGCGGCACTTGCAGATATTTCAGCTTAGTAATGTGTTTGTTTAAGGACGGAGGGGATGGAGTGAATGGATGGAGGCAGGGCTGGTGGGAGGGGAGGGGGGGCAGAAAGGCTGAATAATGGTACACATCCAATCGCCGGAATGCATAAGTGGGCATATATAGAGCTGCCGTGGAAAATCGCTGCAGCAGCACTTCGTCCTGGACGCGGCCATATGTTTTATAGCGCTTTCAGTCCGCCGCCGTGCCCGGCCTCGCTTCCTTTCCGGGAGAATATGCCCAGTTAGCTTAAGCAGTATTGATTCTTTTCGCTCCCCCCCAAGCATGTTGTGGAGGATATCATGCAGCAGCAGGTTCACATATTAGGCACCACAGCAGAATGAACGGGCCGCTTCTAAACGCCCATCATGAGTCGGTGGGCCCGGGTGGCTGAGACCAGCAACAAGTGCTGAGACTTCAAGATTTAACACATTGAATGAGTACGTGCAGGAGTTTTGGTTTGTTTTGTTCAACCTTTATTTAACCCTGGAGGATGTTTACGAGAGATCCGGCCAATCGTGAAGCTGCAAAAGACTCTAAACAGGCTGATGACAAAAGTTAAAAACAACCAAACGATGAAGATGCTCAAAAAGTCCACCTGAGGAAGAGTAATCGCACTCGTCTGGGTTTTTAAAATCTACCAAATTCATGGACTTGAAGTGCGTTTTGAACGTTCTCCCAAGACTAAGGAGCAAAACAAAGGAATTTAGATGTTGTACCAGTTGGTGTAAGTGATGGAAAATGACACAAACAAGAAGGAAATTAACCAAGTATTGGTTTATGGATGGAAATCTACCAGTGCTTGTGTCTGCTTATGTTTAATGAAGGCCAAGAAACCAGATATAGATATAAAATGTTACTGAACACAGCCTGTACCGGTGTTTTTCTAACTGCTTCTAATTACAAGCACCAAAAGGTCAATAAATTGATGCAAACTGTTGCATTCACTAGTTTTGTTGAGTCTAAACAACATTTTTAGAGTGCTGACGTGGTCTTCCCAGCATTATTCATAAAAATTATAAACAAAAATGGAGCTAAAACTGAACTTTAGAGATCTCTGTGAGACTTAACTTGTGTCCATCTGTGTATTAATGTTGTGTTTTATCTGCATCATCAGTCTAATGGTTTTGGTCCATGTTCACATTGATGTCAAACTGGCACGAGTGATGACTCAGAGTTTTAATCTGGTGTCATGGATCTTCTTTATCTCACTAAATCTTTTATGTTGTCTTTGTTTCACTTCAGTAGAATTTCTCTTGAAGGCTTTGCGAATACGAGTCCTTCTTTCTTAAACCTCCCCTTAAACTCACCGACATCCTCACAGCGGTCCATGAAGCTCGCTGGTGGCTCGTACTTGCTACCACTAAACTACAAAGGTAGATGTGAAATCACCAACCCTGTTCCACTTTCCACCCTCCCCAGTACCCCTGCCCTCTTCGGTGCGTCTCTAAAGTGGCACAGGCCGGGAGCCGAAGATGCTTCTTTATTGGATTTCATCACAATCTAAATAATGTGACAAAAGCCTTTTCACCCAGGCAAGAGGAGAATCCTACTGGGGAAACTGCTTCGCTATAAAAATATCACCGGTGGCCTTCAAAAAAAAAAAAAGCTCCCTATTATGTAAAAGTCTACTTTTATTCACACTTCAAGGCCGAGCGTCGTAATAAATTTACCTGCCGTCTTTATCGCTGTCCAGTAGCTGGAAAACGCCGGTCACCGTGTGGTTCTGATGCCTGAGACCTGAAAACGAAGAAAAAACATCTGGGTTAGCGCGGAATTAACTGATTGCTTAATTAGAACCCGCCGCAACGATAACGAGGATGTTTTCATTTTACAAAAACGACGCAGGATTTGATCTTTAATCACCGATCTGTGCCACGAATCCATCTGAGGAGAGAGAAAGGCAGGACTGGAGGGGGGAAGAAGAAGAAGAAGAGAAGCTGGATTTAAAAATATGGGGAGAGAGGATGGAGGGCAATCAGGCAATGAGTCAGTCACGCTGTGCAAGAACATTTGGTTTCCCTGTAGGAATAAAAAAAAAAAAAAAAAAAGCATGTCAGAGTCCAGAATGCAATCAGGAGGCTTTGTGCTGTAACGGCTGCTATGACAGTGATTTCCCTCTCCTCCTCCGTTCACATTCACCGGCAGATGAAAAGGAGACGCAAGAACTTCCTCAGCACCCCTTTCTTTTTTTTTCCCTCCTCTTCCCTCTATGCGAGCATGTGACCCCGGCTGATTCGTTTTTGTGAATCGCATTCAGAACCGGAGTGGGAGGGAAGAGGAAGTTCTCCCCGCAACACCGGCGGCAGAAAAAGGGGGCAAACTGATTGGCCCCGAAGTCTGGGGAAAAGGCACTTTGCATAATGCTAATTGCACATCCGCCGCAATTACCTTCCCCGCGCTAATTGCAGAAAAGCTAATTGTGAAATTAGCATTTTTTTTTTTTCTTCTCAGCGTAACAGTCGCGAGTGTAAAAAGCAAATCCATATTTATAAAGCTGTTTTCAGGAGGTTTTTTTTAAAATATCCTCCTGCAACACACACACATATGTACATCCGTCACATTAGCGGCGAATCCCTTTTGTCTATTCCCAACACAATGCTTGACATTCTCGACCCGTCCTCGCAGAAGCAGGAAGAGGAATGGCCTCATCCCTGCCTCCACCGCAGAGCTGCAGAAAAACAACCAGGAGGAGGAGGAAGGAAGAGAAACGGTGAGAGGAACGAGGGGAAACCGATGGAAGGCTCTTCGGGCCGATGGCACATATAGGAGGCTGCGTTCGCTAATGGACGCCATCAGTCATCCGCCCATGTTGCCCCGGCGATATCAGCGAAATAAAGGAAGCACAAAGAGAGCGGAGAAAATGGAACGCACCGTCAGAGCCTCGCTGTGGCGTCGCCGCTCGAAAAAGGCGACGAAAACACACCTTTTCTCACCGCAAAGATGTTCCCAGAAGATGAGCTTTGAAATGGAAACAGATCAGAGGGCTTCAGCGAGACGAGTAGACGCCGTAAATACTGGAAGATGAAGTAAACGGTGCATTTACAGAAGCAGACAGATGGACGTTTAGGAGGGAAGAAAACCAAAACGCAGCACAATAACAGCATAAGAAGAGTATAAAACTCATAATTTGTTGCTTTAACGTGGTCGTAAATTCCACTAAATCCAATGTTTTTAACGTTTCCTAAGTGAGTTTCAACTATTTCAACAAATTAGAGGAAGATTTGAATTAAACAGATTTAGAAAAACCATCGACAACAAGCACCGACTCCAAAATAAAAACAAAATAGATCCTTTCTGAGCCTTTGCTAGCCATTGCTGCTGCTAGTTTGTTCTTACACAGTGCAATTTTATTTCCTTTTTATCTATTTTTATTTTTGTAATGACTTTGTGTTCTATCGTTGTGTGCTGCTAGCCAAAAGAGTTTTCATGTTGCTTAACAATGACAGTAAATCCGTATTTTATTGTATTCTGCTTCGTAGAAAAGCACTAAAGTAGCATAAAAAATGTGTTAACAAGTAAATCAAACATTATTTTATGCATCAATCGTGTTTATTTTCATGATATTCTGAAATAAATTGCCAGAAAAGATGGCCGTCGACAGTTTTATCGTAGCTAGAAAGCAGCAAGCGTATGAAATGTTTATTTTAAATCTTCAAAAGCAGCCCGGTTGACAAATAAACAGTTAATTTAAATCTCTCTTAAAGTCTCGTTAAAGCTGTTGGACCAACCTAAAGGAACAGCCTCAGTCGGTAATGTACAATTTAATTTACTTTATCCAACTTGAGTTAATAATTCAAACTAATGTCACTGGTTTATGTTGGAATCTACTTAAATAATAATAAGTCAACCGGAAGTTTTCAGTTTTTCCTGCTCAAGTATTTGCTTTACCGATACATAAGATGTAAAACGTGATTTTCCGACGAGATTTAAACGTAATCGTACTCAAAGAAAACAACAGTTGAGTTGCATCAACGCTAAAACAGCAGTAAAACCAACTAAAAATTCCAGTTTAAAAGGAACAAAAGTAATCTCAACTTGATAAAAATCCACTAAAGTAAACTGCTTTCACCAAAGTAGAAAGATAAATTTGACTACTTTTGCAGTTTGTTGCACCACAGACTCCATTTTGCTTCCATCTGTTTCCCCGTGAGGGTTGGTGCGCTGCTCCGATCAATATTCCTAACAATAATAATGACAATAATGATACGCTGTGGTGTGTTAAGTACCATTATCTTCCAGTTTTGTAGCCTGAGAACAGGAAGAAGAACCTCTGTGAAGGTTCTGCTTACGTCCGTGACGCCATCTGATTTGAAAATCTCTTAGAATTTGGTTTATTTCTTTGCTTGACTCCCTAAAAGTCGACATCAGCATCAAACATCCAGCATCAGCTCCGTCTCCAACACATTCCCACATAATATGAAAAAAGGCGGCGCGATCAATAATAAAATAAGCGTTTGCTGCATTATTCAGAGCTGAGATTGGACGACTCCCAAAAGGCAAACTGGCAGGACATGAACTAAACTCCACTGATGGCGTCTCTGGTCGTACTAATGGCTGTTTAAAAAAAAACACAAACACTGTTTATTTAAATGTGAAAAGCCCTGCGAGGAATTGCCTCCGCCATCTCGTTTTTAATGCGTGCCATCCGTAAACGCACACGAGTGGAAGCAGAGGTGGTTAGAAACCGGGTCGCCCGGTGGACTACCGATGAACTCGAGGAAATCCCCTCAAACTGTGGGTGAACCCGGAGCCGGAGCAGCTTTGCATATCAGGACGCGTCATTAAAGAGACGCAGCTCGCTCGGATACGACGGGGTTAATATCAAGCAAACATCATTAAAGAGGGAAGAGACCTCGTGGTGAACCCACAGCTTATTACCAATGGCATGAAGGGGGGGAACGTTTCCTGCAGCTAGCGCACGTGACCGCCTTTGTTAGTCAATGAGGATTTATCCTCCAAAATGGTTTGCAAAGTAGAACAGCTCATAGAAGAACACGACGTAATCATGTATTTACATCAACGAGTGTCGTGTTTTGTATTTTATGTTTTGACTTTGACTCCTGTTTATCAAATAACCCTTAAAAAGCTTGAAAACAGGTCATAAAGTTAAAAAAAAACACCTTTGTTGTCTTGTTTCCTACGTTTAACTCAAGAAACTCGATGTTTGGGGAGTTTAAGGGTCTTTTTTTAATTCCCAGGTTCTTAGGGTCGGACACTCGTGTGATATAAAAAGAGCTTCTTAATTGTTGGTTTTCTGCCGTGACATTCACGATGATGACAAAATTACACGATGTAGGAGAGTTACGGCGACGCAGAGGAACCCGTGGGCATTTAGTTAATAGTATATGTTTGAAGTTCTTTACAGACCTGAGATGGTTTTGATAAACTTTATTGTCAAATCGTCAGGTTCCTTCTGCTCCTGAACTATCTCTGACCTGCCTGAACACGTTTTTAAACCACGGACGTTTAAAAAGCCATCTGGGAAATTTTAGATTGATGTGTCAAGAACTTCTCCAGATTTTTACAACAAACCACAACTTTCTTGACTTAGATTACATATTTATAACAACTAAACTTATTTACAACTAATCTACAATACATGAAGTGTGTTATCTAGAAAAATGGTATCAGCAGGTACTAAACATTGGATGATTCAAATTGAATTTGGGAAAAAAAAATAATAATCTTGATTCCTAGTTTTTGGTATTTCATACTTTATTCTAACTCGAACTGCATGTTGTTGGCGTTATGAGCAACTACCTGCTCTTGTGCAGCCACAATGGAGCCCATTTTGGGGATTTTGTGCCCAAAAAACCTGCTGAGTTGGCTCACAGAGACTTTTGACCACCAAAACCTATCCATGTGATCCTCAGGTCCAGGTCAACTTTGGTGCCAAATTTGCTGAAATTCCTTCGAGGGCCTGCAGAAGCTATCGCGCTCAGAGTAATGAAGCGACTGTACCGACGTACTGATGGACTAACAACAAAATGCCTCTGACGCAGAGGCATAAAAACAGCAATTAAAAACAAAAAAAAGAAGGTAGTAACTCCCCTGCTGAGGTTGCTCCTTTTGAAACGGCGCTAAAAACAAGCTCAGGGCCGAATCACACTTAAAGTTCCATCAAATGTAAAGTCACAGGTTGGGGAAAGAATACCGGCGCCATGATCGCTGTGTGCATTTTGTAACTGCAAGGATGAAACCAAAATGTACATGAAGGCTGCATGAGCTAAATAATAGCAGCTGATTAACGCTTAGTCGCTGAAATTCAAGCATCTGCAGAAAGGAAACTTCTGCAGCGCTTTGATCAGACGTGCATAATGACGCCGTGGATGGATCGCCAACATGGACGAGACATGCCAACGCCGCCGCCGCCACCGCCCAAATGAAAATGGATGGCTGCTACGCCCCGAAGATGAGCAGTAATGGGAGCAGAGGATGACAGGCCGAGGATCGTCGGAGGGCTGAAGCCTGCGACGAGCAGCAAAGGTCAGGAAGCGTGATGGATGCACGCTCAGAGGAAGGCAAACGACCTCTAATGCAATCGAAACTTTCACTGGAGGGCCGGTTTGAAGTCGTACAATCAGCTTGGAACACAGAAAACCTGACGAGGAAGCGTCAGACAAACACAGAGTTTTAAATATTTCCACCGCGATCTCAAAAAAAAAAAAATCTAATTTCATCCGTCCACACGCTTAATGACTCCAAATCCTCGGCGCTGAAGATGATTGAGGCCGGCCTCACCGCTTCCTGTGCATTCACACGGCCCGGCGTGGCTTTAAAGCGCCGAGGCAGCTTGTGCTCGCAGCGATAAGGGACTTTTCCTGTGAGTCATAAGCAAACCCCTCTCTGAAGGTTTTGAAGGAGAGCTGAGGGAATGCAATCCCCTCCGTTCGCTTCAGCGTCGGCGCTGTTTAACCCGTTCGTCATCCCGGCTGCTAACCTGCACCTCCGAGGTTAATTTACTTTTGTTCGAGGAAGAGCTGGGACAAAGAGGAAGCTGCAATGACGGCCTCGCTACGACTGTGAAATGAAAAAAAATGGACTTGAACCGGGTTGAAGTGGTGTGAGCCTTACCGCTGTCGCCCGCCGCCAGAGCCTTCAACGTCTGCTCCTTGAGCCGCTCGGCCTCGTGCTTCCTCCTCCGGTGCTCCTCCAGTTTGATCTGCAGGTCTTCGGCCACCTGCTGGAGTTCTCTGAGCTGGGCCTGAAGAGAGACGAGCAGCGTTCAGCTACAGTTCATCACAGATCTTCTGGTTTAATTGCACACGTCGCTTAGTTGGAACAACCTCATTTTTATGAGTAATCCACAAAAAAAAATGTTGGCTTTATGCTGCCGAACACGAAGGAATCACTGATTAAAAAAACCTTGGAAGCTAATTCCACTCACGTTATGTAGCTTGTTGGTTGAACTTAATTTCATAAATTGTCATAACTGATGCAAACTGCTTTTTGGGGGTTTTTTTTATAAATTAAACCATTATATTTTAGAGATAGACTCCAGCCCCCCGTGATCCCAGTGAGGATTAAGTGGTTGGTGGATGGATGGATGGATGGATGGATGGATGGATGGATGGATGGATGGATGGATGGATAAATGATGGATGGATGGATTGTAGAATGGATGGATGGATGGGTGGGTGGGTGGATGGATGGATGGATGGATTGTAGAATGGATGGATGGATGGATGGATGGATGGATGGATATTTTAGAGCACGTACAGGTAAGACACGGTATTTGTTTGGTTAACTTTCAGAAACCGATCGCAGACACCAACATGGAGGCAACATTTGTAGTTTCTACTCAAATATTGCAGCAACTGTTGCATAAGAGGCAGTAAAACAGAACTGAACTGGAATAAAAAGGTGTTGATCCTTTAATTCAAACTTTGGCTGGATTTGGATCCACTGAAGCTAATGAGCTCCCATTAGCCTGCGTTGTTTACACGTTTAGCTAAAAGCGCTACAGCCTGCGTTCTGCATAATTCCAATCAACAGAACCTCGTTAATCAAAACCATTGTGCCGGTTTCTAAAGTCCTGATTTCTTTCTCCAGATAACAATAGAACGTTAATAATTTACCAAACACGTACAGGGAGCTGATTTTTATTATTAGGGCCGCTGCGTTTAGCGGCGTCACGTCTACCTCCCCGACCAGAACCAGCCCGTGTATTTACTAAAAACTTGAGTCGGAGCGGCACAATGGACCATTTAAATCTCTTGCATCGGGAGGTGTTGCTGTCACACCAAAAAATGACAGCTTCTGACAGCCGAGCGTAACCTATCATCACTCTCTGTAATGGACCAATTAATATGAAAGAGCAGCAGCGCCTTGTTTGCCGGCGTGTGTGTGTGTGTGTGTGTGTGTGTGTGTGTGTGTGTGTGTGTGTGTGTGTGTGTGTGTGTGTCGACTCTGCCTCGCAATCCCTCCTCGGAGACTCTCATAATGCGGTGATGGATTCGGCGTGGTTCGGTTCGGGATGGCTACCTTTCTAGGCCACGCTGCTCGCTTAGCCACCCTCAGTGATTTATGGGCTCCATTATGAGAGTACGGGAACATATTTACTTCTGAATAACACCCACAACATGTAGAAAGTTCCAAATAAAGTACAAAACACCTAAAAAAATAATAACTTGTCCCGAGCTGTCTACTAGATAATACACACTGCAGCGCATGTGCTCGACAACTGAGCAGCAACGCACTCAGAGAAACATCCAGGCTGCTCCTTCACCGTCACAAACTCTGACGTCAGACTCAGAGTTTAGGATGAACTGAGGCTCCAGGAGACAAAGAAACCCTGCAGTGGGGGTTTATCAGGCAACGAGCACCGTGACAGAGACTTGTGTGGCGTTGAATGAGCTCCAGACAGAGTCAGAAACACATAGATAGAGGCTTTGGTTTGTACGGATCAATTAAAAAGTGCCTTGATCGATCAGATTGGAACATTCCCACCGATAGCTAATGATCACACAGTGGAAAGAAAAGTTGTTCTAAAAAATGTATAATCTGGCAGCCAAAAAAAATATGTTAAAAACTGGTGGAATACTGCAAAAAACAGTGAAATTATCTGTTGAATGATGATATTTTTAGTGAGTTTCAATGCAGCAATTTTTCAGTCATACACTGAGAAAGAAATTACTATTGGTGTTTTGTTTTTTCCAATCAATATGTAAATTTATATATTTACTATGTGTAATTAAACAAAACAGGGGGAAAAAATCTATAAATAAACAGTCATAAAATTCTACCATTTGGAAATCCTTATTATACAAAATTTCTCTTTTTGTTAACGGCAAATATCTCTAAAATATTTTTTTTGTTGTTGATTTAAATACAGTAAAATTGTCATTTCATGGTTTATTTACATTACAAAATTTGTAGAAATAATCACATTTTAAAATGGACGTTATTTTCAATTTTTTACTGTTTTAACATGAAAATTAATACTTTTTAAAAAATTTTACAAGTCATTTGCTATTTAACAAAACAGGAAAAAATGTGGCAGAAAACAGTGGAATACTGTTATGCTTATAACTGTAAATGAAAAAAACTGTAAAAAATAATTGTAAATATCTGTAAAATAATTACATAATTTTTTTTCTGATTTAAAAAATAGTAATTTTGTAGTTAAATTCTGTCAAACAACAAATTATCATTTGTTTTAAAATAAAATACAGATTTTTGATGTAGACATTATCCATTTATTTTTCTTTTTTTTAATAGTTAACATATCAAATAACATATTTTTCTGCAATTTCAGTAGTTATCTCTAATTTAAGAGAGTTTTTAAAAAACTGTAAAATAGCAAAAAGTCGTGTAATTCTGCAAAAGAACAAATTACGATTTGTAAAAATACTTTGGTTGTTGATGTGGACATTTACAGCTTTGATTTGTTTTTTCAGGGTAACACTTAAGTTTAAATTCTTCTTAATTGTTACTATTTGTTGCTATTATCTGTAATTTAACAAAACTAAATATATATTTTTTACAGCGTACTACTTGCACATAAATCTGAGTTTATGTCCCAAAACATTAGTTTGTCTTTGAGACTTCTTGCTGTTGCAGCATCTTTAGCTGAGCTGATCTCTTTGGACAGGAAGAAAACAAAAATCAGTGTTTCTAACAGGGGAGAAGGTAGATTTTTGTGGATGCGAAGAAGCAGATCCTGCACATAATTTCCTGCTTTAAGATGTTCTCTTAAAAGTGGGCCAATCAGCAGAAAGATAATCACAAATCTCCTGAAAGAGGATTTTATCGAACACCAATTTGTTTTCAATTAGCAGCAGCTCTCCTGTTTCTGCATGTTGCGTAAAAGGCTTCTAAATGTGATTAAAAAGTTTTCCGGCGAGCCGTTCCTTCAGCAGCAGATTCTCCTCTGACCCCCGAACCGCCGGACGAGTTCGTCCTCGAGGGTTTCCGGCCCCCCGAGGCGACCCCGCCACGTCGACGGAGGCGAGCCGAGAGGAGAGGATCACGGAGAGCGACGGGGCCGCGAGGTTCTGGGCGACGCCTCGGCCTCGATCTGCCAATCAGCCGCCACACAAGAGAACAGGAAGGAGCAGGAAACCAGAACAGAACGCAGGGTTGCAGGGTGACGGAATAAAAAAAGGAAAGGAAAGAAGCGGCCTTCAGTCAAATCTCCGTTAAGTGGCAATCTTTCACTGCGTGCATTTTAAACAGGCGCCGGCAATCTTTTAGAAAACACACAAACAGAGCCGTAAATTGCTTCGGAATACCTTGAAATTAAGCGATTTCTTACATAAGCGAGGCAGGAAAAACGAGGCCTGAGAGGCTGCAGCAGGTCCACACTGCTTTGTCCACTGTGTTTACACGCCGAGCCGCAGACGACAAACATCTCAGGAGAAGTTTAATTTGTACCGAGCTCTAATTCGGCTAAAAACGGAGGAGAATTACAGCCGCCGCACATCCGAAGCAGAGAAGTCACGGCTGGAGCGCTCATAAAATGCAAAGCAGGAGAATAAGGCGGGTGTTTACGGGTTAGGGATAGCGGCGAGCGCTGGAATCAGAACGGGAGATGGGTCTGTTATGCTAAACCGGGAGGAAACGGCGCGAATTGATCTGCTGAAATGGAGCGATCAAAGTGAGATAATGGCGGGAAAATTGCTTTTTTTTTTTTTGTCTTCTTGACAGCTCGACAGCGGCGAGCGTCTCCGAGGTAGGAACCGCCGACGACAGGAGCAGCAGGCGTCGCCAACACGTGCGATCCAAAACTCAGGACGGGAATCCTCAGAGCACACGAAAGCAAATTAACCCCGGCGGCGTCCCCCTCCATCAGGTGTGTTGGCCAAATAGCCAGGTAATGACGCCGCCGCCGCCGTGTCCATGAGGTGAAAAGTTAATTAAACGTGTTGAGGGAAGCGGGAGCACGTGTCATCGTTTCAGGGGCATCTTTTTCCAACAACAGACAGACGACAAATATCTCAGAATCTCCCAAACAATGTATTTTAATGAGTCCGGTGACGCTCCGAGGTTCACGTTAATCATTTTCGCCATCTGCTGTTTGCGCTCGCTTAATATTAGCATGTTAGCATAGTCTTTGGCCACCTGTTAGCATCCTGGTGGCATTTTTTGTTCCAATGTTTCTCCACCCAGAGCAGCAAATGTCTCAGAATCTAACAGATGACTAATGTGTTTTAGTGACTTATCCTCCAGCGCCACCATGAGGTGGAGGTTGATTAATATTAGCATGTTAGATGAAGGATTAAGTTGAAATGCTGAATATAGGCTATTTTCAGACTATAGATATTTTAGCATCACTTTGAGGCTGAAGTTCACATTCTGTTGTTGGTAGTAGCTTAATATTAGCATATTAGCATTGTCTTTGGCCACATGTTAGCATCCTGGTAGCATTTTGTCCTAGAAACTGCTGTAAATTTGATGCAGAAACCCACTCAGTTGGGCGTCACTGTACTTTTGGAGGAAATAGCAGCAATTTTTAATGTTTTTAGGAATCAGTTGGCCAATATTTTCGCTACGGCAGCTCCTACACTTCAGATATCTTAGTTTTCAAACAACCTAAGGTTAACAGCTTTCTGCTAGCTGAAGGATTGAGTTGAAATGCAGAACATAGGCTATTTTCAGACTGTAGGGACCAAATATTTGATTTTAGCATCACTATGAGGTTGAAGTTCACCATCTGTTGTTGGTACTAGCTTAATATTAGCATGTTAGCATTGTCTTTGGGCTTCTGTTAGCATCCTGGTAGCATTTTGTTCCAAGAAACTGCTGCGTATTTGGCACAGAAACCACTTCAGTTGGATGTTTCTACACTTCAGGGCCACTCAGGTTTTCTAGGAATCAGTTCTCCAATATTTTCACTCTGGTAGCTCCTACACTTCAGACATCTTACTTTCGAACAAGGTTAGCAATTTTCTCCAGACAAAGGAATTCGTAGAAACACAGAAATAGGCCATTTTCTGATTACAGAGACCACTTATTGGTTCCAGCGCATCCATGAGGTTAAAGCTCATCATCTGCTGTTGGTACTAGCTTAATATTAGCATGTTAGCATAGTCTTTGGGCACCTGTTAGCATCCTGGTAGCATTTTGTTCCAACAACTGCTGTCCATTCATACATAAACCAACTCAACTGGATGTTACTGTACGTTTGGGGCCCAAAAGGCAATTTTTAATGTTTTTAGGAATCAGTTTTCCGATATTTTTCGCTGCAGTAGCTCTTACACTTCAGATATCTTATTTTATGAACAATCTAAGCTTAGCAGCTTTCTCCTGGCCTACAGAATCAGCTGAATTTCTGTATATAAAGGCCTTCTTTAGACCACTTACTGGTTCCAGAGTACATTTTGTGCCGTCCCAACACACCACAGTTGCAGCATGAGTAAAAGCAGATGGATGTTTTGACGGCTAAACCCTGATTCTGTCCTCTGTTGTAACTGCACACAACATAATAGCATGAATCCAGTGCAGCTGTTTCTTCCTCCAGAGCAGCAAATATCTCAGAATCTAACAGATGACTAATGTGTTTTAGTGACTTATAGTCTAGCGCCACCATGAGGTGGAGGTTGCTTAATATTAGCATGTTAGCATAGGCCACCTGTTAGCATCCTGGTAGCATTTTTTTTGCAAGAACTGCTGTGAATTTGACGTAGAAACCCATTCAGTTGGGCATCACTGTGCTTTTTGGGCCACTGAAATGTTTTTAGGAATCAGTTTGGAGCTCCTACACTTCAGACATCTTGAACAATCTAAGATTAGCCGCCTTGTTTTGCCCTCAAATTAATTGGAAACGTCGCATAAAGAGGCCATTGTTCCACTATGGAGTCCACTTATAGGTTTCTAGTGTACGTTTCTGAACAGTCGCAGCATGAGACGGTCCTCTGCACAATAACTGGGCTGAACTCTGCTCTACCTGTTTCTCCCTCCACAGCAGAACTCCCTCCTCAATGAGCTGCTGCTTGAGTCGCAAACCCTCGTCCAGGGTCCTTATCTGGCCCTCCACGAAGGCTCTTTCCTTCTGCCCCAGATTCCTAGAGGGAGGAGAGAGAGAGAGGACACACGGTTTCCTCGTCATTACCGGAGAAAAACATCGGCCACCCCCGCCACGGTCGCCGAGATGGCGCGATCCAATTTTATATTTTTTATTTTTTTCTTTTCTTTAAGGGCCTCTCGATGCAGCAGGAATCCAAAATAGACAAGTAAACAAGGTCTCTGTGGCCGAGATAAATTGTTTTCTGAAGTCTGGCAAATGCACAATGTGAGGGGGGAAAACGTAAGGAGGTAACGAGGGGGTGAAATCATAGAGGAGGGAGTGGGTTAGCATGTTAGAGGCTGCATCGTGTACGGTGGTCATACATCTGTGTAGCACCTCATTTATAACCTGTTCACATTAAATAGTATTTAAAGGAAGCTGCCTTTAACACATAAACTCTGCTCTGATGCTGCACATTACAAGTGTGACCAGGGTTTTAATCGTGGCGGCACCACGCCCCCTGGTGGCCAAGAGTCGCCGGTGCAGCAGAGAAAAGTAGCTGTCCACTAACAGCAGCAGGAATTTTAGAGAAATAATACTGATTTTAATGAATCTACCACTGGACTGGGTGCACATCTGCATCACAATCATGTCTCTGTGTGTTTTCAGTGTGCATGTGTTTTGCTTTTTTCTACAAATATTGAATCTCAGTTTCGATTCGACTGACCAGCAAGTGTTCTGGCAGCGAGCGGGGCTGTTGTATTCGTCTGAGGCGTCGCAGCAGTCTGGCGGGAAACACAGGAGAAACCGAGGCAGGGGATTAAAACCAAAAAAATAATAATAAAAAAACATCAGCAAGGAGAGGTGAGCAATCTGTAAATGAAATGATCAGGTGGAAACAGAAGCAAACGACAAGTCAGAGGGGACAAAACAACAGGGACAAGTTGTTTTCATGCACTTCAGATCATCAACACGTCAATAAACAGAATTATTCAAACAGAAAATGTTTGTTTCAGTCATTTTACAAGAAAAAAAACACAAAACTCAGACTTGTATCTGCTGCTGTTCTTTGTTATACACAGAAGTTAAGCTAATATTTGTGTTTTTTTGGACTATTGGTGCAACAAAACACCAATTTAGGACTTCCTGGATAAAATGCTTCAGGTCAGTCTGTCTAAAAAATACCAAAAAACTATAAAAATTTGTCCGTCAAGGGCCTGTAACTCGGAAAATACTGATAGCATGAAGCTAAAACGCTGCTTTGATATGATTTACTGAAGTTATTGTACATTTGAAATAAAAGGCAGTGATTGGCGTTGCGTGAATTTACAGTTTGTTGTACAGTTGGACACAGAATTATCATGTAAAGCAGGTTTTTTTTGTGCATTTACCCAATTTTCATGGACTTTTCTTGTTCCTAGAAAACAGCTACTGGGTCCAAAAGCTAGAAAAGGTGCAAATCTGAAACAAGCTGCATATCCTCTAAACTTTCTTCGACCTTTCTGTGTATTTTTCACATCAGCAGCAGCTTTCAATATCGATCAAAACCTCCCGTTAAGCGACTTAATCAACTCTGCCGCACTGACATCTGCACGTTTTCATCTGGTCGCCCTCCAACATGAAGATCTTCTCCTCTTGACGCGAGCCACTCGTTACAGCCCAGGAGAGGAGGCCCGGCGCGAAGCTTCTCAATTACCCAGAACCCCGTCGGTGATCGGCAGCCCGACGAGAGGGAAGGCGACGGAAGCCTCTCGACGAGCAGCCGAGGAGGAAAAAAAGCCACGACGAGTTGGCTATTAAGAGCCCGGGCTGAAGGAGGAGAAGGTAGACAAGTGGGAGTAGAATAAAGGCGAGAGGGAGGCTTGAGGAAATGTTCCCCCACTGCTCTTTGATTCCTCCCATGTTTCGCTCGTCTAATGTCGCCGCCGCCGCTGCTGCTGCTGACGGGAACAAGACACGAATTTACACAAAGCGGAAGAGAAAAGGGGCAGATTTTACAAGACGGAACAGAGGAAAAATAAAAGAAAGGATGGCGGGTTTTTTTTCCTCAAGGAAAGCCGAGCGGAGCCGCGTTCGACGGCCATGTTTTGTTTGTTTGTGCGTCAACATGTCAGCGCGTCGGCATCAAGGAAATGTGAATCCACGTCTGAGGAACAAAGAGGAAGCAGAACTTCTTTTTTTTTTTGCCCAACGAAAGAAGTTATTTTGACGAAAAATCTCAAAACTAGCCGAGGAAATGATTTCTAAGGTTTCCACCAAAAAACAAAAAAACAAAAAACGAGCGAATTCTCACTCGTAATGTTCTAGAAAGTTCCTGCTGAAGCCACGACAACCCAACACGAAACCACAGCCTTACCACAGATGCCATCGTTGACCCGTGACGATGGGATGTAATGCGGCCGGAACCCCAGATTGGTGCAGTAGAAGCGGCCGCGAGGACACGCCGAGGTGCCTGGATGGAGCCAGAAACAAGGGTTACATAAAGTCGCATTAAACGTGTCACTTATCAAGTATTCTATTGTTCAAAGCATGCAGGTACTTTGGGTTCTTTTAGCTTAAACTCACCTGTTTAGGACTCAAAAACGAGCCTCGACCTTTTGTTCACAGCAGTTTCCGTTCTGTATAAAATCAACCAAATCTAAAGGAAGTTCCCACCTGACCCCCATAAAATCAGCTGATATTTTATCTACAACAAGTTCAATTCATTTGATGAAGCCGTGCAAAGTTTTACCATCACACTATGAACATTTTTACAGTGCGGACCCTTTAAAATACTGAGCAGGGGGTTGAAGTTTTGTGCCTTTTCCATCATTTCTGAGCCTCAGAACTTCAGCAGATGAACACATGACGTTTTAGGACGTCAAACACGTTGCTGCAACATCATTTTCTGCCCAAAGAAAAGACACCAAGCTTACAAATAATTATTGTTGTTCACAATCTGAGGACGGAAACAGAACAAAGAGGCAGAACCAGAACTGAACTCCATCAGAGGAGAATCTAAAGACTCTCAACGAGCTCTGAATGCTGCAAATTGGTTAATCGAAGAGTTAAACTGTTCTATAAAACATGAAAACCAAAGTTGTTTCTACATTTCACAGGAAGTGTTAACATTTATTTATATCAGGACATTATTGTGACACAGAAGGAATCGTGTCTAGAAAACGATGATGGTGTCAGATGTCGGTAAAAATGATCCTTTCATTGTCTAGAACTTGAAGTACACAGAGGTGGGTCCAAGTTTCACACTTTTTAAGTTCATGTAGGAATCATGAGTGAACAGAATCACAAATTTGACGTTTAGGGCGTCAAGCAAGTTGAGAAGATGATCAGCTGGTATCAAATGATGGTAAAATGTTCCTTTCATTGTCTAGAACTGGTTCTGACCAACCACCACCATCACACGTGAGCTCTGAAAGTTTACCCAGAATGCACTTTCTCGAGCCACATATGATGCTGCCACCGCCGTGCTTCACTGTCAGGACTATGAGCTCACTGTGGTCGTCGTGGTCAGAAGAGAAAAAGTTTTCTCCGGTGAATGATCAGAAACCAGAAACACATCCAGATGATTGTTTCTATGACTCTATGACGTAGACATTAAACTGTTCACACTATGATACATCCCATAATACTGATGCTACCAGCTGGTAATAAAAACCAGATCCAGTGTTCAGACGGTGACTGGATGGATGTAGAACTGATCTGGTGTCGGTTCTTAACAGACCTCAGATGTGTTTCATGTGTCTATCTGCTGAACTGATGAAGTTCTGACGCTCAGAAATGACAGAAAAATTAAAAAGCGACAACATTTCCACCCTCCAGTTCATTCATGGGTCTGAACCTCTGACTATATTCACAGTATGAAAGTTAAACTCTACATGGATCGATCAGGATTATAGTTTTGTTCTTCATGACCTCGTCCAGGTTTGAATCATCTGGTGTCATAACAGCTGCTATCAACTTTCTTTGCTCACCAGGTTTTATTTATCAGACTTCATGTGTGATTAAATTTAAAAGGAGGCGTTTGATGCAGCTTTTGACTCGTCTGTTACACAAAATGGACCGAAGGATTTTGATCGAGTCCAGAGAAGCAGGTTGTTATAATGAAGCTATGAAGAATTTATGACGGTAAAAAAGCAAAACTGTTGCTGCGAATAACGCATCAGAGGAATGCAAAGAGAAAAGCATTAAAAACAGAAGTTTACATCCACTGTAAAAAGACATAAAACCTTTTTTTCTCACCGTCTAACATTAAATCAGACTCAACTTTTCCTGTTTCAGGTCAGTCAGGATTACCAACATTATTTCTATTTGCTAAACGCCAGAATAAAGAGAGAGAGAGTTTTAGTTTCCATCCATCTCCTCAGTATCTGGTACCGTTGCCTTTAAACTCTATGACTTGGGTCAAACGTTTTCCTTCCACAAGCTTCTCACAACAGTCTGATGAGTTCTGGCCCGTTCCTCCTGACAGAACTGGTGGAACTGAGTCAGGTTTGTTGCTCCACATATCTTTTCAGCATAATTTTCCCACGTGGTGACAAAAGGAAGCATGTTTGAGGTGAGCCTCCAATTAACTCACATGCTGTCAGTTAACCAATCAGAAGCTTCCAAAGCCATGACATCATCATCTGGGCTTTCCCAAATAGTCTGAAGGCATCTTAGTGGATGTAAACTTCTGACTTTGAAGAAAGTCATAAATAATTCTCTCTCTCATTATTCTGGCGTTTAGCAAATAGAAATAATGTTGGTGATCCTGACTGATCTGAAACAGGAAGAGTTTAGTCTGATTTAATGTCAGACAGTGAGAAAAAAAAGAAGGTTATGCGTCTGTTCCAGTTTTGTTTTTGGCCAAATTCATGTGGAATTATTGTCTTTGATTGAATATTCTCTGTGTTAATACCAACTGACAAATCCATTTCTAAACCGGACTTAGCAGCTATTCAGGACCAACTATAAAACTTTATTTATGCATTTTCTGGCTCTCGAAACAACAAAATGCATAAATATTACGTTATTATAACACCTTCGTTCAGTGGGAAACACGCTAACGAGCAGCTCAACAGGTTTACAGATAAAACTGTATCACTCAGACAGAACTGTCAGGACAGGAAATTGATTTATTGATCTCTCTGGCTGTACGTCCTTCATGCACCTCTCTGATCTGGCCTCGTACGCCCCCTCAGGTCGCAGTCGGCCGACCTGAACAAACAGACGCCCACAGGTCGACCTCTCACCTGGTTCGTCTGAGCCATCGTCGCAGTCGCAGTAGTCGTCGTTCACCTGCTCAAAGGGGATGATCTTGGACCCATCGATGCAAAGGAAGGACTTCCTCTCCTTGTAGAACCTCTTATCTGTTACAGAGGAAGCACAGACTCATGAGCTAGAAGCCAAACAAAGCAGCAACACATGAACATCAGAGTCTCAGTGGGGTCCTGTGAAGGACAGACATGCTCCTAACAGACCTACAGGTGTGGTGCTGATGCTGCACACTGCACAGGCTCAGTTCAACACACCTGTAGCTTGACAGCCTCAGAGGAACCTGTAACAAGCCATCTGTGTCCAATCTAAACAGCTGTTAGAGCTACAACACGCTGCATTATCCACAAACATCATGACAGCTAACTGTAGCTTCAAGCTAAAAGGAGGCACAGTGAACTTACAGGACGAGGATATTCCTCTCACTTTCCGCGACTCCACGAATCCAGACCAGAAGACAGCAGCGACGATGACTTGGAAACGCATGTCCGAGTCCGAAGCGGTGAACTCTCGGCCTCCTGCGTCATAAAAAACCCGCTAAAAGCTGTTTGAAAGTCCAATTCAAACATTTAAACTCGCCATGTTGTCGCTTCCTGAAACATGCGGTCATGTGACGCCCCGGAGGCGTCCGATTGGCTGCCGGTCGAGGTTCATGTGAGTCGTTGGGCCAATCTCAAGTGAGAAGGCAGCAGCGAGGGGATAAGGGGGCAACAGGCTGAAATTCAAAAAGGGAATAAACGCAAACATTTCAGGATAATTACTTATTTGTGCTTTACAGGGGGTGAATTTCTGGTTTTATCGTTTTAGATATAGATAAACTAATATTACATATATATTATATTCTATTATTGTTGATATATGTTGACAAAATAGAGCTAAAGTGTGGATTTCCCTCACAAATATATGAATACTGACTGATTTATGCCACTTCTTATAAATAAATGGGTATAAATATGTGTATTACTACAATACAAATGCATTTGTGGTATGGTGTGATGGGGATATTATTCGTTTTGGAGCTATTTGTCATTAAGTGTTGCACAAATTAAAAGTTTGTCTTGAAGAATCACCGGATTTATTTCACTCTGACTTTATTTTGTGCCTTTTTCTTCCAATAATTGCTGCAACGTTTGAGTCAAAGCCACAAATGTTGACTTCAAGAGTGAAGCAGGAAAGATGAGCAGGAGTCAACATGTAGAAAACAGGAATGTTTGTAGAGGATCGGTCTAAATAATGAAGTTTTTGTTTAGTCGTTTTTGGATTTTTCACTGTTTTTGTTCATGCAGAGGCTTTTAGGAAGTCACTTCATCTGACTTTTTAAAAAAGAAATATGGATATATAGAGATTTTGATGTATATTTACATGTTAAAACTCACTCACTCACAACAGCATGTGGACAGAAAACATTTTTTACATAAAATCCTTCAATAAAAGCCATTTAATAAGATCCTGTTTCTGCTCTATTAACTCTGATTATTGTGATATAACATGATTCAATCTTATTTATAGACAATTTCGGGGTTTTTTGCACATGTATATATCCACTATTAGGCATTAAAAAGTCCAAAACTTACACATTAAGTGAGTTTTTTCAGTGTAGATGATGATATTTGCACAAAATGATGAACACAGTCTCTAAAACAACAAAATATGTTTATTATTAATAAACAATATTTACAAAATGTACATTATTCAAAAAAAACAGGCAAGTTTGAGAAGAATATGAACTGTTCCAGGCACTTGGAAGGTGAAGAATCTTTACATTATAATGTTTGATGATTCAGTCATTTGTCGCTGCTCAGTCTGGTGTAAAGGCCCGAGCTGCACACTGACTCTTTGCTCTGGAGGTACGACAGGTCCCGGATCATCCCCGGGAAGGAATACGAGTCCAGCGGCGCAGGGCGCAGCGGAAACATCGGCATCAGTCCGGAGCTCATGTACGGGGACATGAAGCCCGCCACGCCGCCGCTGGCAGAGGAGTAGGCGAGCCGCAGGGGGCTGACCCCGAGGCGCGGGCCGAGGCCGAACAGACCGTCTCCTCCCGCCACCGGAGGCATGTGCAGCGGGGAGAAGGCGGACTTGCTCCCCAGAGCTCCGAGCGCACCGGGCAGCCCGACGGAGGGCCTGAGCGCGCCCTGGAGGCCGGACGAGCCGTCAGAGTCCAGTTTGTTGTCCTTGGAGCTCAGCACCAGCTCGATGGACTTCACGATGTCGCCTCGGCACGTTCTCACCATCGACTCCAGCGTGTCCCGCTTCTGCTGCGGGAAGATCTTGGCCATGATGTCGGTGGGGTCCCGCTCCAGGCTCGGGTAGTCCTTCTTCTCACACTCGCTGCCGGACGACTCCGGATCCGAGGAGGAGAGCGACCTGTGCGGGCTGTCTGTGAGGTCTGAGCGCTGGTCGGACACCGGGGACGGACTCGCGCTGTCGCCGGGGAGCGGAGCGGAGCCGTCCCTGCTGGGAGACAGCTGCTGCTGTTTGTGGTCGGTGGGAGAGGAGAGCCGGGGGGCGAAGAGGGGGCGACCCATGAACCCGTTATAGAAGTTGTACTTGTTTAATTTGTCATCTGAAATGTGGATAAAAGAGAAACAGGTGTTACAGAAAATGTGCGCATGGTTTTACGCAACCAGCTGTGCGTAAAATGTTGTGCGTAAAAGTCTCCAAAAACAACAACTTTGCTTATCACTTCACTCAAACTGCAAATCAACCGAAAAAATAACAGTTTCATCATTTTAACTCACCGTCTTTGTGGTTCTCGGCTCCAAAAACGTCAAAACACGGAGCAGCTCCGGTGGAGGCTGCAGGAACACCGGCTCCTACCGGTGACCCCTGTGGGATCCCCGCGTCCCCTCCGGGGTACAGCAGCCGCAGCTCCCGGGCCTCGCTCTCCTCCTGGGCCTGCTGCCTCCTGAGCGCCACCTGCGCGGCCATCACCCGCTGCCGCTCCGCTATCAGCGTGCACTTTGCGCACACGCAGTCCCTCCAGCGGCAGAAGCGCTTGTGGCCTTTGAGCGCGGACACGACGCCGTGGTTCCTGCACCTGGCGCACTTCGGGGTCCGCGGGTATCCCCTCTCCAGCGCCGGGTTGCAAGCCCGGAGGAAGAGAGGAGGCGGAGGAGGAGGCCGCAGCAAGGACGGAGGCACCTGGAGGCCTCCGAGCGGGCCGGCGGCGGACAGGCCGAGCGGTCTGATCCGGCTCTCCATGCTCAGACGGAAACTGTGCGGTGCGGTTGAAGCTGCGGTCATTCGGGTGACGGAGCTTCTCTGTGGGCGGCCGGAGTGTGTGTGTGCTGCCTGGAGCCGTGGACCGGCGCCTTAAGAGGCTCCTCGCAGGTGGTTTGACGGGAAACTCAACACCGCCGTCACTCCCCTTTTCCGCTGCAGCCTCTTAATACCGGATCGTGTTTATTTGCATCCCGGATGAATGAGGGTCTAATCTGATGCAACTGAGCCTAAGTGCAGCTGCAGGTGAAGAAAACTTCAGGCCTCCAACAGAACACCGAGAATAATCTGTAAAAAAAAAAAAAACATTCAGAGCAACACAGAAAGTTTACACTGTAAAAAAAAAAATCTAAGTTTATTAGCTGTGATTTATTGAACAATTTACAGATTTTTCTCTGTTTTGCTAAATTACATACAAAAAAAAATGGTAAAATGTAATAACAACAGACCCAAACTGTATATGTATATATATATATATAATGATAATCTATTGTTTTGTGAAGCTTGATTGTTAAATTGTTCTATTTTTGGTTTATTTAAATTTAGGGAGGAAAAAAAACAGATTTACAGATTCTGGCCTTTATTTATTTATTTATTTATTTTGAATTAAAAAGCATATTTAAGGATTTTAAAAAGGAAAATTATTTTATTTAATTTTTTCCTTTTCCTTTTTGGTTAAATCATGGATAATATTTTGTAAAATCACAAGAAAAAAATATTAATTTATATGTTGACTAAAAATAAAACTGTCAAACATTTTACATAAAGTTTACATAAGAAAATTTTTTACAAAACTTTTTAATTTCTTCTTTTACATTTGTTTGTAAAATTACACAATTTTACTGTATTTAAATCATGAAAAAAAATGTGATTAAAAAATATCTGTTATGTTAAAGAAAAAATCTGTACAAAAAGAATTGCAAAATGGGATATCCATAAAAATGTGTATTTTAAAAAAATGTTTTACAAATATTTGTCATTATTTGAAAGACAATGATGTAAACTAAGGAAAAAGAAAAATCAAATTATTACTAAAGCATAATTTAAAACATTTGAAATCACATTTCAAACATTAATTTACATAAAACAAAAGAAAGTAGGGAACAAAACTGTAAATAATGTCTAAAAATCTGTATTTCTACAAATACTACTTTATTCTTTTACAATGTTTAACCACAGAATTGCAGCTTTATGACCTTAAATCAGTGAAACATGTCATTATTTAACAGATATTTACTGTTGTTTTGACAGATTTGAATGCTACAGTCCTCCACTTGTGTTTTCTTGAGACTCTCACAGACTTTTCTGGGATTTCTTGACACTAACGGGCCGTCTGAGCGTGAAGCAGTGAATCAGGTCAACATGTCACAAACCAAAGGAAAAGACAAACGCGCTGCCCGAGGTCGGCCTCATACAATGTGCTGCTCCGGTTTCCCCGCTGAGCGCCGAATATTCACCGTCAGGATGTTTTTAACACAACAATGGGCACAAAGCAGCAGGTAATTATCTACCTGGTTATTCTGTTGAACAAATTAACTCGACAAAGGAGCCATCTGTCAACAAACAGCCGCCAATCACAGCTTGTCACATGTTTCATTCACGTCTGGGCGCTGAATCGGGCTCCGGTTACAGCCGGCAGATTGTTTTACTGTTAATAACTGAAGAATAACTGCAGAGAGACAAACAAACACAGAGTCACTAAGAGACGAGCTCAGAAACACAACATCTGCTTCAGCTTCATACGTTATAATGGAAACACTTTAAGGTTGTTCAGTCCAAAAGCTTCACAAAGAACAAACACATTTAGTTAAATAATGTTTAGTTAATTCACTGTGTCAATAAATCTGTTATTGTACAAAAAGATGTTCTGCTTAGTGGTAAATTTAAGTTTTCAATAGTTTTTAACTTAAATTTTTGGAATAATTTACAGTTACGTGAAGATTTTTTTTTAAAAAATTCCAAATAATATCTAGTAAAGTGATAGAAAACAAGTTTGAATTTAATAGTAAACTGCATAAAAATAAAATAAAATAAAAAAGAAACAAGCCAAAACTGACAATAACGTTAAAATGTTGCATTTTTATTGATGATGTATTTTTTGGAAATAAAAGTAAATGTTTTGATGATTTTTTTTTTTTTTGAAAGAAAAAGTGTATTTAACGATTGAAAAAAGGTAAATTATTTTTGTTTATCTGTCTTTTTTTCCCCATTTTGTAAAATCACAGGAAAAAAGTATCAATTTATATGTTGACTAAAAAAAAATCAAACATTCTACATAATGTCGATTTTCTGTATCAAAAACATCACAAAGATCCAGCAAGACCAGAAAAGAACCAAGTTTGAGGCCTCAGATTTGACCTTATGACAAAGGATAATAAAACTATAAAGCTAGTTTCACTACCTTGCTACAACCTGAAGTTAGTTTTACATCAATAAATACAGAAATACGAGTTTAATTTGCACGTTGCTGCAGCTACCGGCATTAATATTTCAACACAACTCACCAAATATGTTTACCTGAATTCATAAATACATATTTTCTTTGCAACTGTGCAAACACATTGTGCAACAGGTCTGCATTGCCAGCACTATTCTATCAAAACACCCATCAAAATAATATCTGCAGTCTAAAATGTTTATCTTAATTCACTTTTTGCAACCATGCATGCAATTAAAATGTAGAAGAGTTGCTCTGAATTACTTCTGAGGACACTAACATATTGTGCAAAAGCACTGCATCGTTTACAGGCATCTCCACTAAAGCATCCTGATAATGATTTGCACAGAAGAGGCTTTGAGAAGCTATTTGCAGAAAGATGTTCCAGCGCTACGCTCTCTGGCAGATAGGGGCTGGAACAAGCTAGCTCCAGCTGTGCAGGACAGGAAGATAATGGGAGATGCATCCATCAACATGGAGCGCGTCGGCTGAAAACACAAATAAATGCGAACGCTGCGTGGACGCACACGCAGCGTTTATCGCTCCATCAGCTGTGAAGTGGAATTTGATGTTTGGATTTTAAGTTTATCCAGAAGCTCCGAGCTGCTCCCACCTGGATGTTCTGCACCGGTCGCTTCTAGATGCTCTTATTCTGTTTGTAGTTATTACTCGTTTGCTGTTCAGCGTGTCTTCGAACCTCATCTCCTGCAGGTCACAATCTGATGCACAAGAAACCAGAAACATGGACGCTCTGGTTCTAGTGGGACGAGCGTGTTCAGTGTCTTCACTGTGTTCTCAACAAATGTTCTCAGTCATGTGCCTCCGAGAACATTCGTTATCGCCGCAGCTCCTTATCAGAAGCGAGGTGCTGCTAATCTGCTAGCGCATCTCGCAAAACCTGAAGCCAGCATCAGAGCGACGGGGGGAGGGAACGTTCCCACAACGCCAGAGAACGTTACCAACGAGTTCCAGTAGTCTGAAATAAAATCAGCAACGCTCCTGTAAAGTTTATATAATGTTTTAATGTCAACATTCAGAGGACGACGCAGGAACACGGAAGATGTTCTGTGACGTTCTCGATGTTATTGAGATTTTTTTTTTTTTTTTTAAATAAATGTTCCTGTCGTGGTATCTAGCAAAGGTGGAACATTCTCTCTGCTATGTTCTGAGGATGCTGTTGAAGACACACGTTACAGAACGTTCCCTGTCGAACATTCTCACAATGTTCCATGCAGGACCGTTCTGAAGCCACGTTCAAAGACAGTTTTCCAGATGTTATCGAGGCCTCAGATGACAGATCCTCAGATTCATCCATGAAAAGTTGTCACCATAACAAAGGATGGACGTTCTCAATGCAACCTTCAGAAAACATTGTAGAGATGTTATCAAGACAGAGTAACTAAGGTGGAACATCTGAGGATGTTATTGAGGAGACACATTATAGAACGTTCTCCTGTGAAACATTCTCGCAGTGTTCCGTAATAACAAAGGCAGAACGCTCTCAGACCAATATTAAAGGTGGAACGTTTTGCCTTTTTGTTGAGAGAACATTTTAGAAAACGTTCTCAAAGGAAGGATTTTCTCAGAACAAAATTAAAAAACGTTCAAATGTTGCTGAGACCTCAGACGACAGAATGTTCTTTAGAGACGCACCAGTACGTCACACAAAGGGGAACGTTTTTCCTGCTACATTCAGAGGATGGCTTGGGAACGTTGTTGAGGGAACATATAATAGAAAAACGTTCCATGATGACAAAGGAAGAACATTCTCAAACAACGTTCTCAAGATATCACATTATCGGTCTCAGAATGTTGCCACCGATTAATTTCAGAACACCTTCAGTCGTCCTGCTCTTAAGAACGATAGTAAATCAGGGAACCAAACATATCTGTAGAACTTTCCCAGAACGTTGTTGGAACTGAGACAAACCCAGCACGGTGGTGTTCTTTAACATTCCATCATGTTTGTTCGAGCAGCCCGACGGTATTTTCTGCTCTTGATTCTTGGCCGCCGTCCAGATGTTTGACTCAGGATGGGGTTGGTGCTGCTCAGGAGGCGACTTTCACGTGGAAACATTTCGCCTCCTTAAGTTTCAAGACCGCGGCTTTGTTTTCCGAGAACACGGCACTCAGGTTTCAACGGGTTCCCTCCTCTCAGAGGTCTCGACCTCGCTGTGTTTACTCCGTCAGCCGTCACTTCACACCGCCGTGGCCCAACAGTAGCCTCCACTCCAGCCACCAGCACCGGCCCTCCTGCAGCTTTCTCCCCACTTTGCTTTCCTGACGCCGGTTTCTTTTCGTTCCCTCGGGCGGATTCCCAACAGCAACTTTGCTTTTAGCCGAGCTTTCAGGGCGGTTTTTTGATTCCTGGAGGTTAAGTTGCACCTGAAGCACTCGACACAACCGTCCCTGGAGGTCACATTAATGGCTGCGAGGTGCCAAAACTTCACACCGAAGGGACGAGATTTGTTCTCAGAGATCTTTGTGACACGCAAGAAGAAGAAAAACAACCTGACAGCGACTGTTGGAGCTGTAGCTGACGAAA